GGTCTTGTCGCCAGGTTTGTCTTCGGTGGCGGTTGGAGGCCGTTACAGACCGTTGGGAGGCGGTGGTCGGATGTGGCCTGGTCTCAGTGCCCTGTTGAGCTCGGCTGTGTGTCTGCAGGATGAGAGGGAGACAGAAGTTTTTTCGGTGTTTTTTTCAGAGGCTGATGTTACTTTTGTGTAGCATAGTTTCCACCAGAACAATAAACTTTCCCATCTAGGTGACAGGAAAAGGAGAATTTGCCCTTTACAGTGTTTTTGAACTTTAAATAAGTTTAAATGAAAATTGAGTGTCACCAAAGTTTGCAGCAGAGGGAGCTTTAAAATAATTTGGGCATTTAAAATTACTACTTTTTTTTTTCCTGTATTTTTTTGCAGTAGCAATTCTGTGCATTTTGAAGCAGCAAAATTAAGGTGGCAGAACCAGAGCGATTCTGCAGTGTTGGGAAGTCTCAGAACTCTATTTAATTTAAGAGAGAGCTGATAAACAAGACCTTTTGTTTGAATCCTGTGACATGTTAAAAATAAATTATCTTTAAGGCAAGGCACTGTGGCCTTTACTTTAATTTGTTTAAGATAATACGAGTTTAGCCTGCTAATAAAGTTTGTATGTAAATGGCAGTAAAGTATAAAACAGTTTTCTGTTGGAAGCCTGTGCTGTGTAAGACCATAACTGGAGAACTAAAGCAAAATTGATTCAGCATCTAATGGGTTAGAATTAATGGTGACAAAAGGTTGCACTGTTGCCAGACAAAATAATGGAAATGGACTTTTTTTTTTGTCCTTCCTCCTTGTTTCTTTTTGAGGGCCTTTACAAGGTTAGAGGATACTGACCAGTCACAGGCTGGTTGGAAGGGACAAGGGCCTTTACTATCATAACTGCTATATCTTAGAAATGCAGGATTCTTACTTACTTTCACCCTTGTCCGCTTGCTCTGGAGAGGGAATGAATGCTACGACCACCACCAATTCTAGTGGCTTCCACTAAGCCCTGCATGTGTAAGGAGAGACTTAGGGTCCTCTTGGTTCCTCCTCCTTGATGTCCATCTTTTCCTCCTTCATTTCTTTTCTCTGATTCACCAGAAGTAGTATGCTGTCTGTCAGCAAGCTACATCTTTTGCAGCACTGGCACCAGAATGCAGCTGAAAGCGGTGCTCTGAGCAGTCCAGGTTGACCTTGTTGCATGGTAGCAGGTGTGAGAATATTCTGTATGTGTACTTCAGCATCAGCAAAGCCTCAGTAAAAGGGAGGCTTTGTCGTCTTTACCAGAAGATCTTTCCAGTTATGTGTGTATCTCTCCTTTCTTTCTCCCTCCCTCTTCTGGAAAACAGGGTTTGAGTTCCACAACTACTTAACTAATTATTTTTTCTCTTCCTCTGCTCCAGCCAGGACACCATGAATTGTTTTTGTTTGGTTGGGGGTTTTTTCCTGTTTTTCCAGGAAATTTTGAAAATTAACATTGTAATTAAAGAATTAATTTCAACTTTAATGAAGCACAGTGGTTTTCTTTTATGAACGTTAATACAATTCATTAAATACATGCGCAGTCTTGAGCAAGACTTAAACCTACTTGAAACAGTGGCAGTTGTTGGAAAAGCAACAGGGCCAAGCAGGCAGCTGAGGGATTTTTTGGGAACCGTTTATTTCAGTGAAACTGGAGTAACAGTCCAGTCTACCTAATTTTTTTCCTGTAAACTGTAAGATTCTCATTCCACAAAACACTTACCCAACTTAAAATACTTAAAACTATTTGTTGATTTCAGGCCTTTCACAGTTGAGACTACTATTTAGTAATGTAAATTGCTACTTTCTCATTTAAAATTTACATGATTTGTTGAACCAGGTAACTTGCAATGAGGTGTTTGCAAAATCATTCAGCCTCATGTTTAGAGTCATGTTCTAGAAAGGACTCCTTGTTGTGGGATTGTGAATGACAATTGCAGTTGTTAAAATGAGCGGTTTCTTTGGTGAGGAGTATCTGAAGGCTTTCTATCAAAGTGTCTAATGAGTACTAGTAGAGGTGCTTATATCCTTGGCCAGTCTTCCTACCATTTGTTGAAATTAACATTGCCCTGAGTCAGAGACTGTGGTCTAGTTTGGGTTCTGGATTAAGACAGCAGAGTGCTTTCACAGATTAAAGGAATCAAAGGGCCATGAATGACCTGTAGTAGAGGTCCGAGGAGCGCAAAGCTCCCAGTGAAAGATGGTGGACATCATTCATTGCTTCTGTTAAAGGAAATTGCAGAAACTGTACTTTCAGTGCTTTGGGAGTAGTTCCTGCAAATGTATTAAAATAATCCTACAAAAACTGTGTGACACTGGACTTTTATTTTCCTCATTAAAGGTGAGCCATGTCTTTCCATTCCGGGCGAGGATGCCCTCGTGGGCAGGGGGGACAAGGAGCAAGAACTTCAACACAGACCTACCGCCCTCAAAACCTACGGCAGCTTCACCCGCAACAGCCCTCCGTACAATACCAGTATGACCAGCAAACTGCCCCTCCAGCAACCTATTCAAACCCTCCAACCACAGGTTACATGCCTCCCAGGCCAGACTTTGTGCCCTATCCTCCCCCAGTGCCACCTTCCACACAAAATCCTATCAGCCAGTGTCCCATGAGGCCACCGTTTCCAAACCACCAGATGAGGCAAAGCTTCCCAGTACCTCCGTGCTTCCCTCCTGCTCCTCCACCAGTGCCAAATCCTAGTAACACTCCCGTGCCAGGAACTGCTGCTGGGCAAAGCACCTTTCCTTACATGATGCCTCCTCCCACAGTACCGCATCCTCCCCCTCCACCAGTCCTACCACAGCAAGTCAACTACCAGCCTGTGTACTCCACAGGGTATTCACAGCAGTCGTTCCCACCACCTAACTTCAATAGCTATCAGCACAACTCGGGCTCCTTTCAGAGCAGCACTACCAACAGCAGTGGTGGCAGCAGCCATTTTCGGCACACAGGTCAGTACCAAGGAGAAAAGTCGCAAAGTGATCGACGGTCTCCAGAGAGGAGCAAGCACTATGATGAGCACCGGCATCGTGAGCACAGTCACATCCACGGTGACAGGCATCGGTCCACTAACCATGGGGATCGTCGGGATCGAGGACGGAGTCCAGACAGGAGGAGACAGGAAAGCAGTCGGCATCGGACAGATTATGACAGAGGAAGGATATCGCCTCATCATAGAAGTTACGAGCGCAACAGGTAACTTGAGGTATCTTGTGCCTGCAGAGGGAGAGCCGTCATCATCATCTCATAGTACTTGTTTGCATCAGTGTTCTCCCCTCACCCCTGGTTTTCTGTCTAGCTCAGGAGGGAGCCAGTACTCGGGTCTGGTGGAAAAAGCTGTTTAGACATCTTTCAGGTACACTGCTTCTGCCTCACCTTTGCAAACTTGGCGGGTGTAGCCCTTGTTCATGGTGACAGCTGGAAGCAAAGAGGCTCTTGTTTGAAAACTGAGTGGAACCTTGAGTAGTGCTTTATCCTCATGGGTATTTACCATGAAACTTATGCACGTATGGCATGAAAGTAGAGTTGGCACAACTTTGTGCAAAAGACTGTGTTCAGAGTTGAGCTTTACAAATGGTTAAGGCTCAGTACTTCAAATTTCAAGATTTAGGTACCAGAGTTAGGGTTCCAGGTGTTACTTGAATTTGGTCTCTGAGTAAACCCTGTATTTGTAGAGAAGCAGCACTTGGAGGGGTTTATTGTCTGATAGATGCATGCGTCTGATCATTCAGTGAGGTGTTTTAGTGAAAAGCACGTTGCACAGCATTCTTCATCCTGCTCTGCCCTCATCCTCGTGGGACACTAGCGCAGACATGTGCAGGCTTCATGGGACCTCCTCGTGGGTGCTTAGACCTGCCTGTGTGATTTCTGTTCAGGATGAAGACCTCAGCAAGCCACCCAGTAATTGCAAGAGAGGACTGAGGTGAAAATTAGCATACGCTAGTTAAAAGAAATAGGCAAGTTATAGGCTACGTTGACATCTTATGATTCAGATGGATGAGTGTGGACTGCTTATTTTGGGATGTAGCGTGAAGTTTCTGTTCCTCTGCTTCATGACACAAATAGCTTGCAAATTATGAGCTGACCTGATGTAGTTTGCTCCATGGTGTTTTAGAACAAACCATCATCAGTTAAATCTTTCAGATATCCTAGATTTGTTCTCTTGGTGACTCTTTTTGTGTCTGATGATCTAGGTCAGAATATTCAAAGAGATACTGGGGAGTTAAATATTTAAATGTTCATCAGGGTGCCTGGATCACATGGTCTAATTTTAGAAGCTCTTGAACTTTCTTGTGTCATGTGTGAAACATGAATTTACACATAGTGCCTGTGGAAATGAGCCACTTTGATTTAGATTTGCAGAGATTTAATTGCAGAAGCTTAGACAGCTGTATTAAAAAAAACAAACCCAAACCAACCAACCAACCAACCAACCAAACAGAACCCCTACCAAACCTCACATTCAGTAAGTTTACTTTGGTTTTCATAGAGGATTTTCCTGAAACTGAATGCATCTGACATTCAGGCACTGGCCTTTTCTGTATGATGAGCTTGTGGAATTTTCTGCCTTCTGTAGGTGACTCAAATAATTGCCACATAATTTCAAAATTTGCTTTTTAGATTTTAAAGTTCCATTTTAAGTTTTGAAAATGCACGTTTCCAGCAGCTTCTTTCTCAAACAGTTATGGAATACTGCTTGATGCCAACAGCTTCCAGGTCCTCTCAACAATGTACCTGCTTATTTTAATGAGAACTGTTTGATGGCCTTGGTGCGTTTTTTTGGCACAGCATCCCTGAAGCAAATCAGATGACATAGAATAGGCTCTCTCTGAAGACTGAAATCTGTGCTTGAACAAGGCACACGTAGAGAAGGATGAACGAGCGTGGGGAAGAGCAACAGATAATTTATATGCAAATATACTAAGCACAAAGTTGATTCTATTTCATGTTATGCATATGGAAACATATATATGTATGTTCATAAATAATCTTGACCCACTTTGTTAAGCCACTGAACCACCTGAGACATATTTATAATGCCTTGTGTATCAGCAGACTCATTTACTATGATATTTGACAGATGCACAAATGATTGTGGACTAATGAGTTGTCAGCTGTTAGAGTATGAAAACCACCTGTGTGATATTTGCTGCTGCCTCATATATACAGTAATTTCATAGAATCATTTAGGTAGGAACAGACCCTCAAGACAAGTCCAACTGTAAACTGAATTGAACTGGCCAAGTTCACCACTAAATCATGTCTGTCAGCCCCATGTATACATCTCTTTTAAATACCTTCAGGGATAGTGACTCAATCACTGTTCCACTGTATGAAATGCCAGATTTCTCATTTAACTTCTGTTTTGAACTCTCCAAGGGAGCGGGAGAGGGAGAGGCATAGGCACCGTGACAGCAGAAGATCACCATCACCAGACAGATCCTACAAAAAAGATTACAAGAGAGCAGGCAGGTAAGGAAGGTTACATTCGGTCTTTTGTGTATTTGAGGCTCTGTGTATCCACACGTGAATTTTTGTGTATCTTTATATATGCCTGGTTTGAAACACAAAAAAGATTAGTGTCTCCAGTTTTTAACTATCTGTGTGCACATGCAAATGTCAGTTATCTCTAGACCTTGTAGAGTTAGAAATGGGATTAATCTCTGGAGAATGGGCTTCACTGTTGTGTCCTAAAGACCTTCTTATATCTGCTTTGAGCCTGTGAAGTGCCAAGATTATTTAAAGTCATTCTATGTTTAGCTTATCTTTTAGGAGCGTGTTTTGTTGGGTTTTTTTTTAATATTGATATAAAAATAAAAATCCTTTTGAATCCTGGATAGTTGAAATCAGTGCAACATTGTTGACTTTGTAGACAGAGGAGATTAAAAAAAATAAAGTCGTTTTTCTACATTGAAATTCTGAATGCATTACCCTTGTGGTGCATGAGGGCTATCTATCACAGGTTGCATTTTTCAAAGGAGTGCCAGAGTTAAAGTAACACAAGCAGTCAAGGCATCTGTATAATTCTAAAACCCACCTAATTCTTTTCTCATGCAAATAGTTTGTGGGCTGTGTATTAAAACTTCTTTATATTATAAATTTTAGTTGTAAGTGATGTGACTTTTAGTAATGAGTTTCTAACTTTGGAACAAAAAAGAAAGTAATGTATAATACAAGTAGGAGTTTTAATCTAAAATAGTGTATATTTTTTCATACTAATCCTTGAATGAGGTTTAAAATACAGAAGCACTTAAAACACTTTCAATTTTAAGTCATTTTTTATTGAAAGTCAGAACTACAAAGTTCTGTTTATGTTGCAAGTTAAAAGCAGGAAGAGGCAATTGGATTTCTATATATCATATTCTATATGATAGAATGATGTACTGATCTGAAGCAAGCTATTTGTTTTTCATTATAAAACTGTCACTTTTAAAATAATAGAGGATTGCTCTTGTTTACTTTCTCCCACTAAGTCGGTCTCCAAGCAGAGAGAGAAAGAGACCCCGATGGGAGGAGGACAGGGAAAGGTGGTGTGAAAATCAGAGCTCCAGCAAAGAGAAAAATTATACCGCTATCAAAGACAAAGAATCAGAGGAGAATGCATCTGAAAAAAATGAAGAGGAAGATGAGGAATTACTTAAGCCAGTTTGGGTTCGCTGTACTCATTCTGAAAGCTATTATTCCAATGACCCTATGGATCAAGTGGTATGTTTGTGAGATAACTCTAAATTTACTGTACGCAGTCCTTTATTGATTATTTGATAACTTGATTAAGAGGAAACCTTCAGCAGGATCATGTTTTGTGTCACTTAATCCTTCTCTTTTCCCAACCGTCTTAATCTTTTAACCCTGTTAAGGATTTTATTTGTTGATATTCTGTATTTTAATCAGTTAATTCTGTCTGTTTTCATTCGGATTAGTGATATGTAGAAGAGGGGTGCTTTTTTGTCTGCAGGAGGGAAGGGTGGGATTTTTTTTCCACTATACCTATATTTGACCAAAGGTGCCTTGAACACCATATATTCCCATAACCTTGGAGAAGTTTTGTACAGAAGCAGGAAGTCAGGATTCTTTGTGCTTGACAGTAACACTGGTGGAGTAGTGATAGAGGAGGTGAGCCTTCTGAGTTTTTTTAATGTCTGTGGTTGGTTGGTTATGGAGGATTTTTTTGAGAATGACATTGAAAATGAATTTAAGATGATTGAAAGCAGGCAACGAAATGAGATGAGCTTTGTGTTTCTTGTGTGTGGAAAAATAATTTTTTAGTTGCAAAATACTTCCACAGGTCTCAGGTTTCTTCTAAACCTGTTAAAAATCAATGCTGAGCTGTACTAAATATACTCAGCCATAGTTCTCCTTTGTTAGGCCAAAGGTTTGATGATAATGCCCCAGCAAATGAAGTATTTTATCTGCTAATTCATCTGATGGAGCAGTGTAATGTATGCTACGGTCTTGACAAGTATTTCTGTGTTTCATTGAACTACACTGAGATCCATCTTTTCATTGGAAAATGCTGGTGCATGTTGTGTTCATGTGCTATTTCAACGCGCTCTTTTTTTTTCCTGTTGTCCTGGTTTTTCTTAATTAACAGGGGGACTCTACTGTGGTAGGAACAAGCAAGCTCCGAGATCTGTATGAAAAGTTTGATGAAGAGTTAGGAAAGCGGCAGGCAAAGGCCAAAGCAGCCAGGCCACCATGGGAGCCACCGAAGACCAAGCTGGATGAAGATTTAGGTAGGCAGAAATGATGACAAAGCTCTGAAATGGAATAATCTGTAGTTAACCTGGTTTTGGCAGTTGTTTGTATTTAATAATGTTGGTAGGCTAATACATGTTTTTTAAATACTTCCTTTCTGCTGCATATCCATGGGAGTTTTACTGTTGCTTTTGACTGAAGTAGACCTAGATTCTTTACCCAGAAAGCTGAGGGGAAGATGAGACTATCCAGCACTGTCTTATGCTAAAGTCTCTTCCATGGCATGAAAGCACCCTAATCATGGCCAGATAGGCCAAAGCATGATGCATTCCTAAATAGACGGTATCCTGCTACAGGCGGAAGCATTTTTAAGTAAGATGTAACTAGACATAAGCACTTTGTTTGCAGCAAGCAGAATTAACTTTTAAACAAAAGCTCCTGTTCAGCTCATACTGATGACTTTATATGTATTCTTTCTCTTTTTTCTCTTTTTTGTCTTTTTTTTTTAACTTTATGGTCAAACTTGTGTTGGTTATAGCTCTGTTATCTTTAATGTCTAGTAATTGAAATTGCTCTTCTACAGCTGATCAGTAGTACTTCTGGACCGCCAAACAGCAATCTGATGCATACAAACAGATGGAGACGTAGGCATTTAATATCCATAGCATTTGGTGTCAATTTCAATTAAAAATGCAGTTGCTGTCGCTGTTTTCGTTAGTGTGAATGTCATACACAACTTTAATAACTTTCAGTGTGCCACAATTAGTTATGTCATGTTAGAGAATGCATTGCTACTGGGAAGGAGAGCATGTGGCAGTGTTTTTCAACTCACTTTATTTTCCCTGTCTGAATCAGAGAGCTCCAGCGAGTCAGAGTGTGACTCTGAAGATGACAGCAGTTGCTCTAGCAGTTCAGATTCTGAAGTTTTTGACGTCATTGCAGAAATTAAGCGTAAGAAAGCACACCCTGATCGTCTCCATGAAGAACTCTGGTACAATGATCCAGGACAGGTATGGTGAGAGGAAAAAGCACTGTCTCTCTAAAAGTCATGCTCCCCGTAGACATAAAATTCTGCACTGTTGTCAAATGTGCTGAGTGACGCCTATTTCAAGACACTTCTTTTTTTTAATCCCCCTTCTCTCTCTCATTTTCTTCAAAGCATTTCGCTTTTGATTTCAAGAGTGTAGTTTCCAGCTCATGAATCCTAGGGATTATTCAGCTGAAACTACGTCTGACAGTGTTAATAAAACCTGAATTGCTAACATTGTACTAATTTTGCCCTCTTAGCTCTCAGATAAAAGTACACAGATGAATTCTGAGGTGGAGAGCAGGCAGCATGTTTACCTGCTTTACAAATTTCTTGCATAAAAGCTCTCGGCTCATAATGATAAATAATGTTTTAAATACACGGCTAATGCTCCTATTTTCTTGTCTAATGGTTCTTTTGTAATAGCATGGAGATTATAGTTCTCATTAAATGTAATTGCTGAGCTCATGAAGTGTTGATTTGAATGTATACATTGCACAGAAGACTAGTTTTTGTTTGCAAACTTGCTGTCTTCATCTTTCTTACTTAAATATTTTACAGTCTATTCTAATTCATTGCCAAGTGGCATCTCAGTAAAATTATTTTTCTGGCATTTTGTGTGATGCATGAGTTTAGCGTGCAACAAATCATAATGCCAAGAGATACTGCAATGCTTATTGCCACTGTGGTAATTCAAAGGTCTGTTGAATATCGTATTACAAACTCATATTTTTGCTTCTAGTTAAAAAAAAAATAATTTGACTGAGCATAGCTAGCTGTTTTTATTTGTATGGAAAACAAAATTAGCGAACTGTTTAGATACTTAATTGAAAAAATTGTGTACCTCTTGGGCACACTTCAAAGTAATGTTCTAGGCCAGAATATTAGCTAAATAAAAAGAAGTGGAATAACTGTAGGATGAATAGATTCAGGAATTTGTGGTTTATGAGTTTTCTGCTGAAAAACTTTCTTTTCCAAAAACTTTCTTGAGACTGACTCTTCATCTTTGTTGAAGGGGCTGAAAATCAGATCATGGCAAGCTTGTCAGTGCTGTACTACTTTTGAGTAGACTTTATTTGAAAATGTTTGAAGTTTTCCTAGGTATTTATCTGTTATGCCAGGATGCTTTCTAACTATCACTACATAAAACAGGAATGATTGCTGTGCATGCTGGCACATACAAGTACGCTGCCTGACGTGGAACTAGATTTTTGGGATGGATCTTCCCAACACTTCAATCTGAGCAGTATGTTTGTTACTTTGGATAATCTCCAGCAGTGCTGGCAGTTGCCAGAAAAGAAATTGTTAAAGCAGATGCCACCACAGTAGTCTTTTTCTTAGAAGTGTTGTCTGCTTGTCTGTGTTGCTCTGGCCAGAGGAAGTTAGAAGCTATTGCCTTACTTTATGTAAAATTGTGATCTTCCAATATCATTTTATCATCGCTTCATGATTGCCCTTCTGCATTTTTTTTTTTCATGAGCTGTGTCATTAGGAACAAGACAGATACGCATGACTTGCTTTTCAAGTCTTGAGCTTGACAGGTACTTCACATCTCCCTCAGCTTCAGTCTGTGCATTTACTGTAACAGAGGCAGTGTTAGGGCCGAACAGTTCTAAGTATTAAAGATTAAATTTTCAAAAATACATGATGATTATTTTAATAACCTCAGTAGGCAGTCATTTTTTTGTTATTTTTTGGGAGTGATGAGCAATTTGCTATTGACTGCATTTTTTAACTCTTCTGTTTTGTGGCTGTATAAGCCAGTGAGGAGAAGTATGCTTTTATCTGTAAGCATGGTTCAATTTCACTGAGCCTGTACCTTCCTCAAGGGTCTCAGAGTATGTGTGAACAAAAAGCTGTTATGTCACTCTTGTTAAGATTGTATGACTAAGTTCCCAGAGGAGCAGAGAAGTGCCCTACTTCTTATATTCCTTTGCATGTATGTACTGTGCCAGTCTAAAGAAATTAAACTGAGATTAACATTCACAGAATTAGCATAAAAACAAAGAAGTTGCATCCCTCTTCCAACTGTCTGAAGACTACATTAACAGCAGTTTGGTGGTTTTTGCTTCCTAAGGTATCTTTACGTGATACCTATTTGCTGATGATACCATTTAGCTCCACCATTGATGCCGTTTCCCTTTTCAGACTGCTTATAATGGGAAGTTCTGCTGGCTTTTTTATTGCATTGCAAAGTTGTTTGGTTTTTTCCTAAGTCTAAAAATAATGTTTCAGTTCTTGGATTCAGACTTTGGAAAACTCCATTAAAGCCTGTGGTTGGGAACTTCATTTGCTTCTCTGGTTTGGTTCTGGGATGGTTTTGTTGGATTTCTGTGATGGGCATGAAGTTAAGAGCAGAAAGTCTTAGGATCTTGTAGTAGTTGATAGTCTACTTTCAACTTAGTCATAAAAGTGAAAAGACAAACACTAGCTTTATACAATGTGCAATGACCCTTTTTAATACAGCTACTTGATACTGAATATCGAAGTGGACATTTTTTCCTTCCCCTCTTCCTCTTTTACACTGATCTGTTTGCAAGATGCATTTGAAGTATTCCCATTACTTCTGTAAAGTAACAAAGTAACGTCTTCAACAGGTCTGTTTTGCATACTTCTGGTGATAGCCTTGCCACATTGCAGAGAGGTTAATCAGGGATAGGATTTCATTTGGTGAATTGAGTGGAACTGTTTGAACATGGAAATTTCAACACATGGATATTTGCATGTGCACGTTTAGGACCTGAATCTCATTTAGGCAGGCAGCGTGCTGCTTGTATGTATAAGAAATTGAAAAAGTATATGTTAGTAAAGTGGTACAATTCAGCTGAGAGTATTTTTTCCATCTTGTGCTTCTGAAACAGTGATGAATTTCTAATGCTGTTGTGCGGTTTTCTAACATTAGTTTGTTTTCAGTTTTATTGGCTTAAGAATATCCATTTAATCTAAGCATGACAGGCTTTTAGAAGCATCAGCACTCTGGGCATTAAACTCAACATACTTTTCCAAAACGGCTTTTCAATAAAAACAGAATCCTATTTTGGGTTTGACAGATGAATGATGGACCTTTGTGCAAGTGCAGTGCTAAAGCCCGACGAACAGGAATAAGACATGGCATTTATCCTGGCGAAGAGGTAAGTCATTCTAAGAATTGCAGTTATGAGTACAAACTTGCTGCTGTAAACTCATACTTGGGTGGATTTGAGTTTGGTTTGGTTTTTTTCCCCATGATCTACAGAGTTAGTAAGAACTCCTGTGCAACTATAAATCACCTAGTTTTGTAACCTCGTATTTAAAACGCAAGGCTGGTAATGAAATCCACTGGAAGACTATGGAAAACTTGCTTGTATTTGTTTAGGTCTGGGTTTTGTGTGATTTTTTTAAAGGTTTCTGAAACACAATTACATTAATAAAAAAGAAGTTGTGGTCAAAGATCTACGCTCTTCAAGTGGATGAATATGTTATGAGGACCCTCTATGAAGGAATTGCTTTAAAAGTAAAAGGAAAAGTAAATAACATAGTAATTCTACTGCTGACAGGAAAAGGAAGCTTGTCAGGAGGTGTTCTGCCTTAGCACTAGAGCACGTATGCACTGTAAACATTTCTCCCTGCATCATCTCTAGTGCTTTTCTTGCATAGAACAAGGGAGAAAATTTTAGCAAGAGAAGAGCGATACATAAAACCTGCTGCATGAAGGCAGATACATCCTGCAGCAAGGCCAGCTGGGAATTTGAGGTTTCAGAAAATCACCTCATATATACTAGTTTTTGCAGTGTCCTATAGATAATACTGCCTACCTTTAAACTGGCTGGTTTGTAACTATCTTGAAGTCGGATGTAGGGCATATGAGAAACTGGTTTTGTCTGACTGCTGAGGATTTTCAAGTCTTTAAACTGGTCTGCTTCAGAGCAAGCTGGAAGTAAACACAAATCCCAGGTGTTTGGTGTTGCACAGAGGAATGGCTGCCTTTGGACACTTCAAGCTGTTAGACAGAGCAGGGTTACCAGAGCTGCCTCTTTGTGATAGACTAATCTGTTCTCTTCAGACCCCAGGTCTCCCCGAGACAGATGAGCTGATGCCTGTCTATCTTGATAGTGTACTTTGAGATCTTCTCATATGAAGTCCAGATTCCTTTTCATAAGCTTTTAAAAACAGTTTCCAGAAACAAATTTTTGTAAAGGAAGAAATTAGTCTGGTATGTAAACAACTGCCTGCTATGTGTAGGAATGATAGAGTCAAATGGAAAATGAAAAAATTACAGCAATGTTTTTTCCTTTTTTCCTTTCAAATAGCTTTAAAAATATTTCTGAAAGTGAAAATGTAGATAAAGTCCCACTTTCCCTCTTCCCAGAATGCTTAATTATGACTACCTGCTTTTATTTAATTTTTCCTAGTGCATATTTCATGGCTGTTAGGAATGCTTTATTCTCTCTTTTAATCTAAATTTGCCTTGACTCTACACATAATTCTACTTATCCCTTTCTTTAAGGCCATTAAACCATGTCGCCCCATGACCAACAACGCTGGAAGACTATACCACTATCGAATTACTGTGTCGCCTCCCACGAACTTCTTAGTAAGTACTTTATAGATCATTGTAGCTAGGACTCTAATTTTATTTTCAATAATGGAAGTAGTTCTTGCTTATTCTGTGATGGTTTTGTTTGCTTTTTTTGTTGGTTTTTTTTTTAGACAGACAGACCTACTGTTATTGAGTATGATGACCATGAATATATCTTTGAAGGGTTCTCAATGTTTGCACATGCCCCACTAACAAATGTAAGTATGTTCATTGCTACATATGTGAGATTTTTTTGGAAGGCAAGCTGTTTCTGCCCTGAAGTAGAACTTCTCTAAAACAACAGCACATACATGTTGCAAACATCTCACCAGCATTTGGGTCATGGGAAAGACATTTGTGCTAATGAGTCTCATGTTTTGTCCTGACTAATTGTGGTAAGCCTAGTCTTCAAACTGTGACTGAGACTCTGACGTGCATCAGAGTAATGTTTTAACATGTTTCACAGTTTGGAAGTGAAACAAGCCATGGATTAAATTGTTGAAACTGTTAATTGGATTTAATCGAATCAGGAGGTTTGTTAAGTTGAAAAAGTTGAAAAAACATCAACAGATTTAAAAAAAATAAAGCCTTTCTCTTTATTAAGTGACAAACGGACATTTTTCCAGAGAGCCACTCTCTTCTAAAAATTTACCTATACGTATCCACTAATTTCTAACATCTGTTCAGCTTCTTCAGGATTTTTATTGAAAGTTGTAGGTATTTAAAGGCAATTAATTTTGTTTTGAAAGTAAATATTCCAAGAAAAGGATGATTGGTACCTGACTGCCCTGCTTTTCCAATATAAGCCAAGTTAGCCTTATCTGAATGAATTAACTTCTGTACATATGCAGATTTTTTTTTAATCTTGATATTTCAATAACTGTTTTTTCAAATGTTATAGGGTTTGTTTCTTTCCTTCCTTGGTTTTATACCTGTTACTAGCTATACCACCAATGCCAAAACCCAGTATAAGAACAGTTATCAGCACAGAATACTGGAACTGAGAGGCACTGAGAAGAAAGCCTTTTTTATGACAGTTTGCTTGCATAATATATATGACAGCATTTTACTTTTGGTGAGCAGAAGGGACTGTAATGCTGATGAGAAGTCAGTAGGAGAGTAGAGTTCAGCCCATGGGGTTGCATTGTGAAGCATTGCTGCCAGGTAGCACTGACTCAGCCTTGGGATTCAAGGCAAATTTGTCCTGAGACTTTGCTGATTTGCAAAGTGAAAACGTAAAGAAGGAACAGTTTTACTCCCATTAAAAGGGTAAAAGGACCACCTTGTCTTTATAATTTTTGTGTCAGCTGCATGACAGGAAGGCAGAGTGTTATGGATAGAGAGAACAAGGAAAAGTCGTCTTGTCTGACATGAGCAGTTAGTGAAGCCTACTCTTACTGTAAAGTGTGTTTGTTCTAATTCCAAATAGAGGAAGTGAACAGCAGCAAAATACTACTTTTTTGTGGAGTTGAATCCAAAGCAACACTGTATTGCCAGTTCCTGTTACTAACAGGTATAAAGCCCTTTGGAGGGAATCTGTTGTTGTCTTGAGATTATTTTTGGCAACATAAAAGCTGCTGTTTGAGAGACGTTTTGGAACATATTTGATAAAAGGGAGGTGGCAACGAGTAGCAAAAATAGAGATCCAAACACCAACATCTTTGGATGAACCAAATTTCTGTAATTTGCAGTCTTAGCTTTGTACACTGTTTAAATTCTTACTGCTGTTATTGATATTATTCAGTAATAATTGAGCAGGTCAGATATTAGGGAAGAAGGTTAGTACAGTCATAAGAGAAATTACAGTTTTCTTAATACAACTACCAAAGCAATTTTACAGTAACAACCCCATATTCTCTTACTGTTTATTTGCTTGTGTATGTGGAACTCTACTTGATGGAGATTTTGGTCGTGGTCACATCTTTAACGCATTCATTTTCAATTTAATACAAAGAAAAATACCCCAAGCTGCCGAGTTTCTGAATCAGAATATCCTCTGCTGATTGAATTTACATGTTAGAAAGTAAACAAACACTCCCTGTGTTTTTATTTTTTTTTTTAAAGCCCTGCTGATTTAAGTGTGACAGGTTTTCTTCTCAGATTCTGAATGGTACATTTGACCTCCAAATTTTTTATTTCTGTGTTCACATTTAATATTGTACCACATAGTGGGAAATGCTATTTTTGTTTGGTATTTTGGTGCAGCCCCTTAGTTTATCATGCAGATATCAACCAATTTTGGTAGACAAAATAGTCACATGTTTGTCAGTGGGCTGCAAGAAGATGCAAGCAGAATATTCCATGTCTGCAAAGTCCATTGAGTTCAGTGCAATTCCGGCACCATTCCGGTATTTGTGTGCTTATCTAGGCAAAATAACCCTGGGTTGCCTTACTTTTACAGACCATAAAATTGTCCTAAGATTCTTTTATGCTTGCAAGGCCAGTGAATAGTAAAACTTGTTAAGAGCTGTAGGTGTGTAGGGTAGGATTAGGCATTTGAGTAGTCTTTCAGAAATTCAGCATTTTTGCTTGAAAAAAATCACATTTAAAAAAACCAACCAAACAAACACCTTCCGCAGTCCATGAACTTTGCAAACAAATGAACTTTTTTTCAAGATTGAAAAAAAGGAATCAGATGTTTTTCTTACTAGTTAGTTGAGTGAACTTCTGAGAATATTTATTACATGAAGTTAATAAAAACCTATACATTTATCTTGAAGTTCTTACATTGTGTTGCTATGACTTAAAACCATATTTTAGGACAGTATACCTAACAGAATTGGCAGTGTGCTAAAAACACCTTGCCCTCAGGTCACTGTATCAATCAGACATGTAGTGTCACAACAATAAATTCACTTCCAAATATACCAGTGAGAGAAGATGTGGGTTTACTGAGCTTTGCTTTCTCTTCTAAACAAAATTTCATCTCCAGTAGATGGCATTATTTAATCTTTCTTTACCATTCTTCCTGTCAGTCCTTTGTTACTGCAGAGGTTAAGGTTAGAACTGTTACTTCTGTTGCACACGCTTGTGTTCCTGTCTTTGTATGATCCCTCAGAGTAGCTGTTTTAGTAAGTGCCCTTTTCAGCAGACAATAATACCTTTGCAGACAAAATTGTATTAACTATACATTTGATGCTTTATATTTTTTCATGCTGAATTTCTATTTTCCTTCCAGATTCCTCTGTGTAAAGTAATCAGATTTAACATTGACTATACAATTCATTTCATTGAGGAGATGATGCCTGAGGTAAGAAGGATAATTAGTCAAAAAGCCAGAGTGGGTTGAGTTGTTGATATGCTTAATGGATTAGCTTTTCAGAATGCCATCTCTAGGTGACAGGCTCTGTTCTTAATGAATGGCTTAAAATGAACTTGCACTCACATATACTAGCATAAATCCATCTACCTAGGCTATCATATGTTAAAATCAAATAGTAAGAAGTGCTTATATCCATAGCTCCTTTTCATTTTAAGTTATATACAGTATGTGTCAGCTACTCTTGTCTGTAAGCTGAGTTAGGCATTATCCTTCTTTTACAGATGACAAAAATAAGTCATATGGAGGTGCTGATTTGCCAGGATCATATAAGTCAATAGCAGAGCTGAAACTTATTCATGAGTTTGAAGCTCTGAAGATTGCTTATCAGTACTTAATACAAGCTGTTGCCAAAATAAATTTCCGGTGGATGAAAACAAAGCACATTCAGTTCATAATATTTTTTTTATTACAAATTAATTCCTGGTGAAGCCAGTTTGTGAAGTAAATTGCTACAGTGGAACAGCATGCGTAGGTACGGAAACACCCCTGCATATTAACTACAAAGATACGATCAGTGTTTAATTTAGTCACATATATTTACATTTTTTCTTTCTAGTTATCTCTCTTCTTGTTGCTCAACAGCATCTAAATATATGCAAGAGCCCTGACATTCCTCAGCAAGATTAATGTGATCAAAGCAATTCATTTCTTGTTACTGAATCTGCTGCGTTGTCTCCAAATCTTGTTCTGAAACGCAAAATGGCCACCAAGGAAAATAAGGAATTTGACTTTTTTTTTTTTTTTTTGGACTGCTGGTCAATTGGCTGCAGTGCTATTTGCAGATCATCTTTACTAATGCATTCTTGTGAAAGAGATTTTGCTGTTGGGTTTGGGATTTATGGCTGGTATCATACACATACAGTTTATATCAACGTGGCCTGATTTTGTTCATTTCTGAATGAAGGTTCTTTGCCTTGGAGGAGCTGCTTCCACACTTGATGAGAAGTACTTTTTTCCTTTTTTTTTTTTTTTTTTCTTCTTTCCTGTTGGCTCCTGAGGTCAAAATCCTCATTTTGCATTGTATTGATATGTTGCTATGGAAATGAACATGATATCACAGATGGTGATTTATAAACTTGTAATATGAACATGTAGGAAAAAATGAATTATTAAAAAGATTCTTCTTGGAAATATGTAATCTACTTAGTTTACTAGGTGAAAGGGTTTTAGTGCATGGTGAATTATTGTAGATTCATAATTTCTGCCTATTGTGTTGAGTTGGACATTGACTAAAGAGTTTTTATTACAATGCTTTCTTGACAGTGCTTTCTGAAGAGATCACTATGTTATGTTACAGTATATGATTATAGATATATCAATACTGTTTCCAAAGCCCAGTGTCTAGCAGTTGGCAAATATGAAGACACAGTTTATTTTCGTTGTTTTATTTAAATATGCGTCAGTGGCATTACTACTATATAATTATAATTCTGGTTTATTTTCTCTTTCCCCAGAATTTTTGTGTGAGAGGTCTTGAGCTGTTCTCTTCATATCTATTCAAAGATATTTTGGAGCTCTATGACTGGAATCTTAATGGTAACTTTTACTTAGAGGAAGAAAAAACTTACAAAACCCCAATTATTTGCAGTTTTTGTAAATAAGACTGTATTTTGTTATGTTCTTTGCTTTTAAAAGAAAAAAAATAACAAACGGAGAAGTACCTCAAAAGAATGAGGTCAAATGCTGGTTTACGTGAGTGGGATAAACGTCTACTTTGTTTTTCAAGAAGATGAAATGTATTGGAGTTCATTAGTGTGGACTGTAGCAGTTAAAATGTACAGACTTGGCACTATATTCTTGAAGATAAACTAAATTTCTTCCTTAATCCAAAACTGCTCTTTTTAATCAAACAGCAAATATTACTGTATGTTTAATATTGCACAGGATCATGTACATGGGGTATTCTGAAAGCCAAGGTGTTGGGTAAACTATTCTCCTTTTTTACAAGCTAACAAACAAGTTGCTCATACAGTATTTCTCTACAGTCAACTTACAAAGCAGTGTCATGCAGACAGCTGTAGAGGAATAACATATCATTATAGCTGACTGTTTTTGACTTGACAAGATGAAAATACATGTTTCGGTGAAGACTGCATCAAAGGAGAATTTCAGGGACGATCCTTCTCTTGGTCTAAAAGACAACTGAGAATGGCCGAGGAATTTATTTCAGAATCTGTAGGTGTGTTTTGGTGTCTTGACTTTGCGTTACAGATGCACTCTGCACTTTCTGCAGTCAAACAGAGGAGCGTTACAAGTGTCATCCATTTTGCGTAGCCGCTGTTGGTTTGATACTAAATGTATTTTAATATCAATGTTGTCTTTTGTATCACTGTTTCTGATTGTTTTTTCCTTTTTTAACACCAGGTACTTACTGTTTTGTTTTTGTTTTCTTGCAAAGCTTTGGATGATGAAATAGGAAATGAGAAAAAAAAAATGACACAAAATAGCATGCTGGAAATTTCGGTGTTGTCTTTGTTATTGTAACCAAAAAAATACCCCACTAATCAGAAAGGACTAATAAGCTAGTGCTTGTGTCTGTAAGGCTTAAGTAAATTAATTATATAAAACAAATTTTTTGTAGCTTTCTTTGAAATTGTCCATGTGAATTCTTTCAGTAGAGAGTTGTTACCATTGACTTCATCTGTGGCAGGCTTGCTGCCTTTTTTCTTTATTTGCAAATACATTGCTGTTTTCTATAAATTTCTATATATTAATTTCTATAAATTTTCTGTGTTTTTTTTTCTTATTTAAGGTCCTTCACTTGAAAATGATTCTATTTCCTGCCCCAGATTTCACTTCATGCCGCGATTTGTGAGATTTCTTCCAGGTAATGTTTGTATTATGTAGCTTTATGGAAATTTGATCTAAAAAACCCAAAAAAACACCAAGAAATCTCAAAAAAAAACAACCCACAAAGAAGCTTTACTGCAAGTCAAATAGTTCATCGGTGTAGAGATCTGGTGCTTCCATCTGAAGCTGGCAGTGCTTACTGGCACCGTGGATGGTTTACTCAGAGCTGGGATTCAGATGGGCAGGCAAAGTCTTACTTCCAGCTTTTGTCTCTGTTGTGATGATTTTAGACAGTGCCAGATCATCTTTGCCCTACCCTGCAGTAGAGCTGTGGCATATGAGGAGTGCTGTTTACCTAATCTCATATGAGAAACTCAATTTAGTGTTCCCTGTGCTCTTCAGGATACCGTGTGATTATATTAAAATTCTTGATGTGCGGATTTCAGAGTCAGTGTGATTGACACTGCTGAGCACATGTTCTGATTGTTTCTTTATCTTAATGCAAGCTTAGACCTTGCAGCAACCAGTGAAAGGGAAAAACACCATTCCGATGCAATTCAACCCTGACCTGCCGGCGAAGGACAAGCTTCAGTGTCGAGTGTTACGCTCGTTTTGAGTGAACAGCATACACAGGCATTTAACACGTCCTAAGATGCTAGGACAGACTTTCAGTTGATGTAAATGTCATGGCTCCATTGAAGATGTGTCCTGCTGAGATACTGCCAGTGATTTCTTCAGAAGGATTGTGTGAACAGGAGGGTGCGTTTTGGTTGCTGGACTGAGGGTGTAGATGAGACATGAGAATTTTCATCAAGAGGGCTATGGCCTGGAGGTGCTCTCTGCTCTGGGCTTTGAAACTTAGTTGAAATATTAATTATAGCTGTAGCTAAATGAGGTTTGACTCGTTACTGTGGAGAGTACTGATGGCTAAATGACTACATTTCTAATTGTTGTTCCTTCCTGGATACACAACACTGTTCAATCAGAAGCAGAGCTCTGAGACTTGCTAGCAAACATTGATTTGGTTCTGCTGAAGCAATTTATGAAATAAGCCATCAAGCCACATGTGGCTGATTAACTTGACCTCATCACAAAATGAGAACGAGTTTGACCTGCCTAGTTTGTGTAGCCTGAGGGTGTTTTCCTGTTAGTTTGGAGGTTTTATATTCTGATTTGTTTTATCTCAGTTTAGAAGTCAGCTCTTTCTGCACTTTTGGATTGTTTACTGATAGGGAGAGATGGGTCTCTATAACATGTATTCCTCTGTGCTTCCTGCTCAAGGTTCTCAGCCTTCTAACTCTTTTTAAAAATGTAATTTTCCTGATATTTCTGCATACACAGTTGCCTTATAGCATCTTTGACAGATATTTTTTAATCATGTTTGCTTTATGTATTGATTATTTTCTGAGATATCCATGGAGATTTTTAATTTCCAGAGAGTGAAAATCTATTTCCTTCAGGTATGTATGCAGAACATTATTTATCTATGTCTAATCAAAGAAGATATATTGGTGCAACAAATCTCCACATATCCATCAACCGTCTCTTTAAACGATAGAAATGAATTGCTGGTTTTCCATCCCCTCTCCTTTTATTTCTTTCTTATTTTTCTAACATGATCTAAAAATAGGAGGTTTGGGACTTCAGGTTTTCTATGTGGATTACTTAGAGACAGGCCTTAGGGTAGCTCTAAGCTTTGAGCTAATCATACTGGGTTCACTGAGTGCCAGAAATGTATGGTTTCAGCATGTGAAAAAGTTGCTGTATGGTATACATTGTCACAGATTTTTGTGATGATAAATACGTTAAGAGAGTACAAGACTAGAGAAAAAACATTTGAGACCCCAACTACTGCATGTTCTGACTCAGGAAAAGTCAAGTCTCTAACTACTGTTTAGCACAGTTATCCATAGCAAACCGTACCCTTCTGGTACACCATCTTAGGTAAGGCTGCACTTTCGTTTTTTAGTGATTGTCAGACGTGAGCTACCACCTGCATAACAGTGTAATCTAGTTGTTGACAAAGACAAAAGTATTGTAAACTGAGCCCCCCCTTTAATTTGAAGGAAAGGAAAACTCTGCACATTTAAAAGCCTGCCCCTGTAGCTATTTAGAAGTATTTTCTGTTTCTAGTGAGATCTGGTATGTATTTTCCCCATTTAAGATTCCCTCTTGGAATTTGAATGAGGTTAATTGCTCCAAGAGGCCCAGTTATATCACTCTCTTTAATCTTCTGTGTACCATGGTGCTGTTATCCCAGCTGAAGTAAGAAAAGTACTTGTTCCCTTGTGTGTCTTGTAGAGGACATAATCTTATGCAACACTGCTGTTATGCAGCGGTTCTGCAAGGCTTTTCCTGTGTGCCTGGGATCACACTCCTTGTGCTGTGGCATCATACCCCTTATTGCTCTGAGGCTTTTGTTTTCCTCCATTCCTTTTTTTTTTTCTTTTTGCGTTTGTGTGTTGTTTAGTGATAGAGAGAATGTACTCAGTGGCAGGACTAGATTGCTGCTTTAATGGGAAGAGAAATCAATGTGTGAGCTCTGTGGGGATGAAACTTGAAGATGTCTCCATACCTGCAAATTAACACCCTGTTGTTGCAGGGAGTCGGAGAGATATGTGTCAAAACTAAAGCACTATAGTAACATGTCTATCCTTTTACTCGTATGAGTGGTTATTATACTGTCCTCTTTTGTTACTAGCAACCTTTGCTGTGCATGTTTCATGGGGTCTTGGAAGTATTTAGCAGTTTCCATGTGCCCTTGGTTCATTTAGTGACCTAAGACAGTATGAGGTTCTTTAGTCTTCATTACCGCAGGTACTGCATTTAAGCACTACAGATGAATGTAAAGTGCTAGGGTAACTTGCTGCATTCATCCGAAAGTATCCTGTAAAATTTTTAGTGGTCTTTAGAAAAGCTGCATGAACACCTAAAGACTTTTTAACTAGCATTGTAATAAGAATGGCAGAAGTGTGAAAAGGAAGACATAACTGGACAATGTAACTGATTGTTCTGCCTACTCGTTTTAAAGTGTTTTTTCAGGCAAGTTAGAAACTTCAGCTTTGCAGTATTATCAAACTGTTACTTTTGCTACCATTACCATTATTCCTTCCAGTTTAGCAAAGCATTTATGCATGCGCAGTTATCAATAAAACATTTGCCTTCCTATTTGTCAAGTCTCTTTAAGCATTTTGCATTTTATTTTGCTCATCCAAGTATTTTTTGCGTTCTGCATATTTTCTCTTTTGCTCATGCTTTAGGAATGAATATCTGAAATATGTCTCTATTTATTTTTTTATTTATTTATTTATTTATGGTTTTAAGATGGAGGAAAAGAAGTACTCTCAATGCATCAGATTCTTCTCTACTTGTTACGATGCAATAAAGCTCTGGTGCCTGAAGAGGAGATTGCCAACATGCTTCAGTGGGAAGAACTGGAATGGCAGAAATATGCAGAAGAATGCAAAGGGATGATCGTTACCAGCCCTGGCATGGTAGAGCAAATAATTCTGATTTGTGAACAACCCAATGCACATACACGTCTTGTTTCAGAGAGTCTGCTATGAGCTGAATTGGAAAGGGAAAAGTTGACCAGTGACAGTTGCAGTTTGCTATAGGTTCGTTGGCTTGTTCCAGCCCTTGGAAGAATTGCACCCTCTGCTGCTCTACTGAAGGGCAGATTTCCAGATGAGCACTGTTTCAATGTGTGCATTAAAAGGAATGGCTATATTTTATGTATGTGAAGCTGTCGTTTGCTCCTCTGCTTTCTTATTTTCTCACAGTCTTTATGTGCATGATCTCATTCTCTTTTTCCTGACACAGGACCAGAGAATTAGTAACTGTTTGCTATTTTCTTTCATCATCCTCTTTTGACCCCCTCGCTGTGTTTAAAGTGCTCTCTCCAGGTTCTGTCTTGAATATGGAGAAGGTGCTTTCTGCCTATTTGTTTTTTTTCCACATTGTTTCTATGTTGCTCTCACACTGAGGAATTTTATATACTTTAATAAATGGCACTCATTAACTGTCATTGCTAAACTTGAAACCCCTATGGGCTTATTATTTTTGGAACAATTAGTATTTTAAAGCATGTGTTCTCTAAACACAGTTCCTTTCAACTCTAGTGTTTATATGAATTTAGCCCATTTTTCTGACTTTCACACTTGAAAAGTGTGAGTCACAAGAATAGATGATGTCCACTAAAAGCTGCAGGGTTTGGTCAGTGTCACAAGTGGTATCTCAGTAGTAGAGGCATGTTCTGGACCTTATATTTTAGAGTACCATGCAGCTTTCTCAGTTATAATACCTTTCTTTCTCTGTTTTCATTTTCCTCCTTTGCTCATAGCTCAACTTCTTAGCTTCTCCAGAAAAAGTGTGACTTGATATCATGCCTAAGGGGAAATTTAGTTGCTAACTGAAAAACCTGTCCCCAAACTGCAGCCAAGGTGACTTCCTGAATATACTTTTCAATTTCATATTTTTAAGTATGGTAGCATTACATTTATTGAACTGCTTTATAAGCTAATCATAACTTGGGCAACATAATTTATTTTTTCCTTTGATTTCATTCTGAGTGTTTTTGTTCTGGCTGAAACTTTCCAGACCAAAAGGAAAATTAGATCATCTGTGGCAGCATGAAATACATGTGAACTCTCACTGTGGAGAGTTCTTCCTGAGCTGGTTAAAACTGAGTCCTAAACCAGAATCTCATAACAAAAACTGTTAGACAGCCTTAATTGTTTGACTTAAAGTTGCCTGTGGTTTCTGTGGTACAAGGTACATGCTAGTGCACAAGTCGTCAACATCTAAATGTATGTGCTGACATAACTTCAGTGGTTTTGCTTGAAGGTATGCTGATTTCAGCTAGCTGAAAACTTGCGGTTTTGTTTAGTACGAAGGAATGCATATATGTTCCTTCCTGGAGTCACTGAACTGTAAATGTGTCTGTATGCACAAGGCAGTGCAGTTTGTGAGTGGTAGTGTTAATTTTGAGATTTTGTGTGATTTTTACTGACAAACTGCATTCTACAAGACTTTTTAGAGATGCATGTGAACATCAAAATATCTAAGTAGAAAAGAAATCTGCAGTACCTTGAAATGTTGTCATGTTAAAATGCCATCACTGGAATAAGTTTTTTTTACCCTCAAGAAGATTGCAATGACTTTCTTCTTAGTTGATGATTTTTTTCTGTTCATTGCACTATATTCTATCGAGTGTGAAAGTAAGTGAGGAAAAGAGTATAAAATTATTTTCTATACCTTTTATGTTAGAAGATAAAACAGTTCTGTTATAGAGACAATGTGAAACTGTTTTAGAAAATGACAGCTCTTCAATTTTATCCACTTGACGCAACAACGTAAAATCATAACTTCAAAATAAGAATTCCTCTTGTGAGCAGATCTAGGTTTTATATATGGTTTTTGTTTGGTTTTGTTTTTTGTTTGTGTTGTTTTGTTGGGTTTTTTTTAAGTGAGGTGTATATGTGCATGATGAAGAAGGGAAAAAATTTTGATAGACATACAAATCCCATTTACTTTAACAACTAACAGTAGTTCAGTTGTATTTAAAACCATGTAGTTTATTCCTGATGTTTGCTTAATTCAGTGAAACTTTGTGTTGAAATAGCTTTAAAGGTTCATAAATTTTTATCCTCATTAACACTTCACTTTCTTCCTAAACTATTGCTGCTTTTCTCACTAGTACAAATATATTATATGTATTTTGACATACTTTTGTACATCTGCATGCAGTATTGCCACGTCTTCTAATATCAGCAAAGCCTTGGTTGATGAGGTTTGGAGTAGGAAACAAAGATAACGTGCCTCTGTTCTGTTAGAATTACTTTGGTTTTGATGAGATTTTAAAAGCAAGGTTGTGATCATTAGATGGTCTCTCACAGCACTTTTAAAAGAACACAGTGATAAAAATCTGGAAGAATAACATTTAATTTGCTTGCATCCCATCTGCTGGTGTGCAGTTTATACTCTTATGTTTCTGTATGGTGCTGTTTGTTCATTTAATGTTCAGAAACAGCACCAGAGAGGAAGTGAGCGTTCCTTGTGCTGAGGGGAAAAAGCATAGCCTAGCGTCTCCCCTCTCATAACCCTTAGTGAAGGAACAATTGTCATCAAGTTTTAAATAAGGAGTTCCTTGTCCAAATTGTTATCAGGCATCTGTGAAGAGCTGTGTAACTGAGTGACAAATCTCAAAGACAGTGGCATATAAATAGAGTCTGGTTTCGAGTGGTCCCCAGGCACACGTTGCACACAGACCCTGCTATAGGTATATGGAAAGCTCTTCTCCCTTTCACGCTTTTGAGGATCAGATTACTTTTATTTATGTGTCTAAAATGTGAAACATTTGAATAAGAAATATTATGTATAATTTTAAAAATATTGTAATTGTTGTATCTAGTATAATTTTTTTTCATGTTCTGTTAATCATATTTTGTGACTGATTTTCAGGGGAGTTGTGGAGCAAGGCTCCTTATTTTTTGAGTAGGGAGAAGTTCCTTATTTTTAGTGTTAAGAGAGGAGAAGTTCTGTGAAGTTATAAACTTTTACATATTGACTTTGTGCAAACCCCACAAAAACAGATAAATTTCAGGACTTTAAGCTCAGATTTAGAGAACAACATTCTACCTCCTACAAATCCTCCCCATGTTTTTCATTAGATTTTGTTCTAATAATCTCTTTTTATTGGAAGTGCTGTGGGGAAAACCTTCTTTTTTCTTTAAACTTAACAGCATGAGGTAACTCACTTAATATATTTATTTTTCTCTTGTTTGGGGAGATGGAACTTTATGTTCAGTCGTCATGTCCAAAGGGAAGTTGATAAGCATTTTTCCCCTCGGAAAATGCTTCTCTATCTGAATGTCAAAGTTTTAAGTAAGTTTAGTTTTTACAGAATAGATTGGAAATGCAGCCACCTGATGAGGCTTACTTTTATTTCTAGAATTGGCTTTGCTTATCCATGCAGAAAATGATTCCTGTGAACAGTTCTACCAAGGTGGTTTGAAGGGTGAAAGCTTTGTTCTTGACACAGTTTTTTTGTTTTGTGAAGAGAATGGTGGGAGCTGTTTCTGTAGCTCTGAAACTCATCGTTCAGAAATTCACAGTGCTAAATTAGAAGTTTTGAGATGCAGGTAACTAGAAGTAATGCCCTTTTTCTGAAATCTTAGACAAGCAGAAAATAGTGGCCTCATCTAGTTGATTGCAAAGTGGGGAGTAAGCAGGCACACAACAAAGTAGCTTGCCAGGTAATGGAGAAAATGTTTACTTGGAGACAAACTGTGAGCCTTCAACTGAGTTTTTAAATATGTTAAATAAGTGATCAAGAATTCTGTAAGCAGCATGTCTTCTACAGTGATGTGCAATTACTTATTTTCTGTGTTTGTAGAGGTGAAGCGAAAGTTGCCTCCTTCTTCACGGTCCTTTTTAACTATAAAAAGAACTTCTGTTTTGAAGTGTAAAAAGGACAAAAGTCTCCTCATTATTCAAGACTATTCCTGATTGTACACATCAGCCTAGGAGCCTTTTCTAAGAGTAGCGTGACAGATTTTTTAATGCTGTTTAGTTGGTGTGATTGAATGAAGCTAATAATGGCTTTACTTGCTTTGGAAAATCAGGAACAGAACTAAAATTAGAGGGGTAGCCTGATCTTAGCAAACTACTCAGGCATGTGGGAACTTGGATGCCAGAATGCTAATCCTGATTTTATTTCCAGTGTGTGGTTCAACCAAAGAAAGTTGCTTCAAGTTCTCTGAAACATTCAAACTGTAAATTTCCTGACTTGTTTAATGAAAATGAAGACACTCTATTTTTTTTGTTGGGAGAGCTAAGTCAATTAACTCTGTTTCAGTTGTTGTCATTGCCAAATATTTATTAGAATATTAATTATTAGTTTTATGTGTGTCTTAATAAGCTTGGAATATTGCTGTTTTGTGGTTCCTGGATAGTGGTAAGCTAGAGGCAATACATTTTCCATGGAGCTGTTGTCAAGTAGGTATATTTTGTTTTTTCTCCTAGAAACCCAGCTCAGTCCGTATTGATCAACTGGACCGTGAGCAGTTCAATGCTGATGTAATTACTTTCCCCATTATTGTCCACTTCGGAATACGGCCTGCTCAACTCAGTTATGCTGGAGATCCTCAGTAAGTTGCTTTTCCTTCCATCTTTCATTCAGAAACACATTGCTGCTGTCATTTGTGGATTAAATAGGGCTTGTTTATGCTTAGTTGAGTCTGATATAAAGCTTAATGCTTATGACGTTGGATACAAGCTCTTTAGTTGATTATTATTATTATTTAGTTGATAAATTAGAGTATATAAGTTACAACTTTTCTGGCATAATTCAGGATCTGATGAAGTAAATACGCATGCATGTGCAGTATGAAATCTCTCAACCTGAGAACAGCTCTTCTAGGTCAGACCAAAGGTTCCTCAAGCCTTCAAAAAGTTCAAAGCTTCAAAAGTTCATCAGTTCAAGAGGCCACTTGCAGGTTTGTAGAGAGAGAATAGTGTAACTGGAAGGCACCTCCAAAATATGAAAAGGCTAGATGGTTGGAGAAGAACGGAAATCCTAAGTTAACATATGCTAACCATGGAGAAAACTTGACTTTCCATTCAGCACAAACATATAAGGCATGAAACTTTTATTTCACTCTCCGCAGAATGACTTAGTGTTGCACATGAGTTGTGTAACTTTTCCTCATGTGCTTCACTGAAATGTATCAGCAAGTGTAAGGACAGACATCTTGGGAAAGGTTACTACTGCTTTTCAGTGAGTGACAGGTAAACGCTGTGAAGAAGAAGGGTTTTTCACCTGCCTGAATTGAGATGTCATGCTGTCTTTTCAACATGTAGAAGTGGCCCTTTGGAGAGGATGGGTGGCTACTGAGGGACCTGGGTTCTGCACTGAGCTTTTCTTTTCACCTCACACTGCACACTAGTGCTCCTCTCTGCTGCTGTGTCCACCCCACTGGAACATCTGCACAGACACTGTCACCTCTCTTGGAAAATGTTTTGAGGGTTTTTTTCCTGGAGCAAAATGCTTGTAGACAATCTGTGCATAGCTATTTTCATAAGGACAAATGGTGAGAGACTTCTGTTGTATTGACTAAACTATTTGCTTTCTGGTTTTGTCCTTTAGATATCAAAAGCTGTGGAAGAGTTATGTGAAGCTGCGTCACCTGCTGGCTAATAGTCCCAAAGTCAAACAGGCTGATAAACAGAAATTATCACAAAGAGAGGTATGCTGTGCCTTCCTATAACTAAGCATGGTAATTCAGGATGGAATAAAACCATATAACCACTCTGTTTATGGAAACAATAGAAGTCCTTCACAAAAGATTTTCTTTGCGGGCTGTTAACACTAGTTTTATTTTTATCTTTGCCTGTTACTGAATGGATTTTTTTCCTTTCTTCAGCTGTCAAAGTCTTGCAAGTTTTTTCCCGCATCACAGAAATTATCATTATAGAGAAACGTAACTTCTGTATAGCTATTGCCATTAATAGTTTCAAGAATTAGTGTAGAGAAGGGCTTTTTATTTCAGAGTGCACTTTTAACTAGCTCATAATTTTAAACATTTCATTTTTAAACTGTCACACTTGTGTGTGGTTTTAAACCGTAATTTATTAGGTAGTCTTAGTGACATTCCTTAAGATCTTTGAGTTAAAATCATGTGGTGGTTGTTATTTTCAGTAATCTTTAAATTAGTTATTTGTTGAACTTTTAGTTTTTTACTTCCCTTCTCCCTGCCCCACCCCCGCCCCCGAGTGATGAGCAATAAGTATTTCCTAAGTGCAGATGCTCAACCAATTGCAAATTTTAATCAGAAAAATAAAGTAATATAAATACAAACTAAAGCAGCTTGCTGTCAGGTATCTGTTGTTTTAAGATCTTGGACTGAAGCTTTGAATTTGTCTGGAGCCTGTCTACCAGGCACTCTTATTTGGAAAAATTGCATAAAGAATACATAGAGGAGAATTTAACTTCTTTGGTACTGCGTGGAGTTTAATTAAGTGGTATTGTATGTTTCCTGGTTAGAAACTCCGATGATTCATAGAATCATAGAATGTCCTGAGCTGGAAGGGACCTATGAGGATCATTGAGTCCATTTCCTGAGTCTTCCCCAGTTTGCTAATTGTGTAGCTTTGATGGCAGTAAATGTTTGATACATTTGACATAGCACCTGATTGTTACTGTCACTGCAAAGCATAGCATATTCTTGCATGAGCAAGAGTGTTAGTTAACATTTTGTTTATGCTGATATTAAATATGCCCTTAGTTTCCTTTCATGTAAATGGGGAAAAAACCCATAATCTTGTAACTTAACTATGCTGCAGTTGCAAGGAAAAAAAAATCCCTATAGGAGGTTATTTTGTTTGCTACAGCTTTCTACACTCAGAGCAAGTAGAAGGGAAGACCATTGTTTTATGGGCGTCTTTTCATTAGGGGCTAATGGATGACTGACTTGTAAAATTTTAGTGGATAGGATGTAGAGAGGTGATTATGTTTTGCTTCAAAAGATAAAATGCTCCTTTGTTATTTATCACTTACTGAGTGGTTAGCTATCAGAGAGGCATACAGAGCTGAAGCAGAAGCTTTATATGAAGAAAACCTATGCATTTTGCCAGTGGAGGTGTCAGTAACTTAGAAGGAAGTGTAGGGCTGCACCTGGCTGATGCATGGGCTTTTAAAGATTATGAATCATATATTATGAGTGCTGCTGAGCCAGTCAGCCTCAAAGTGCAGCTGGATCTAGCAAACACCCGTCCCAGAAAACATCCAATGACACAGTCGCAAAGTGCAAATTTTAGACAATGCACAAAGGGTGCAGATCTATAAGCACCTGTATTCCCTTTGCCATCAGTTATTTGCTACTATGAGACTTTATGATGTTATTATTTGTGACAAGGTCATGCTTAGGGGCTTTATTATTCTAGCCTAACTTTGAGTGTTTACAGCAGGTGCATAAATTGGGACCTGAAGGCTCACTTTGAAGTCAATGGAGAGAGAAATGCATTTTTTAAAGCCATTTATCCCTCTTCATTGAATATAAAAGGAGCCAGGGCTAACTAGCTTCCTGTGCTAGACACATCGGTATTGAGGTATCTGAGGTTTGGTGAATCTGCGTCTGAATAGAGGTGCATCTTGGGACCACTCTGTGAGCCTCTGCAGAAGAGAAGACAGAGACTGTTCCTGCCCAGAGATGCTCACAGGCTTCAGACTGGAAGCTGAGAAGAGACAGCTTTAAGCAAGTGCCCTGTAGTGAAAAGGAGAAGAGGGAGGATAGGTTGTAGCTTTGAAAAGCTTCATCTTCTGAAGAAGTAAGCAGCACTGAGGGAGTCTTTACCATTAGTGAATGCTCTGTGGGGAGCTTGCATACCCTGGAGGCTTTGTAGTATTGGAACCAGATCTTGATCCAGGGATAATTTATTTTAGCTGGCTTTCTTTCCATTCCATTTTTAAAGAAAATATTTTCCTTTAATGATTCTGTCAGAATCTTAATCTGTCACTTTCATATTTTCTAGAGACAAGGAAACTGTTTACACAACACCGAACAGCCCGTGGTCAGGGCAAAACAGATTTTTCTTTTAATTTTTTTAATTGAAATAATATTTGTGGATTTCATCATACTATGCTCCAGGACTAGTCGATGTGCTGACCACTTTCCCACACTGGGAGTACTGGCAATCACAGGATCATTTGGTTGGAAAAGACCTTTAAGATCATAGAGTCCAACCATAATGTTGAACAGGAACTATTATGGAGTAGCCAAGATCATGGAACAAAGCCTTTCTTTTACTTAGTTTGTTTTATTCCTATGGAATGCTTCAAACAAGGACTACATGTGGTGAGGGCCTTGAACGAAGAGGTTGTTCTGTACACAGGGGTAAAGAAGGTACTATAATTATAAGGACCTTAACTAGCTTACTTGTGTATCATCTTGAATGTATGAGTTGGACTGGTTGTTCCGTCATTTGCAGTAAAAGATGTTGCCTCTGTTCTCAGTGTACCAAAATCCTTTGTCTGTGCTGTACTCCAGCATGTCCACCGCAGTCTGCTGCTGGCAGTTACAAGATCTGGAGTAATCTTAGAAAGTGCTCACCAAAACCAGATGTTAAATGAACATTGTGAATGCACTCTTGTGTGCATTCTTACTGCTCTGTAGTAGCAAGTTCTTCACAGGAGCTCCACTCTCTCCCTGTCTAGGAAGCACTGCAGAAAATTCGTCAGAAGAACACAATGAGACGTGAAGTGACCGTCGAGTTGAGTAGCCAGGGATTCTGGAAAACAGGGATACGCTCTGACGTCTGCCAGGTGACTAAAGCGCAGAGATGTCTGGTGCATTTTCTTTCTTGATAGCTGCCATTTACCTCTTGCAAGGGTTTACTGTGATTCTAGGCTGAAGAAACAAATGAAAATTAATACTTATACCTCAATATGGTATGTTGATTTAGGGAACTATTCCAGTGTCTTGTTCACCCCCTCCACGCACACAATAAGTTATTTTAAAAGTTTAGTTTTCTTGCCACTAGTTGAGGAGCACAAAGGAGAGGAGCACAAAGGAGAGGAGGTAGGAATGGCCAGCTTGAGGCTGGAGGTTAGCCAGATGTTGAGTCCAGTGTGTAACTCAAAGGGCTTCTTCATCCATCAATTGGATTGGTTTTAGATATTTTTATTTTAATATATTTTTCTATTTAGATATTTCTTTAAAAAACAATTTACAGTGAAGCGTGGATAAATATCTTTTTACTGGGATGAAGTGAAAGAATAAAGCCTTGCCACGACTAACTTGTGGATTAAAACAGGTGACCCTCAGTAGGAAGATACCTTTCAGATACTTTGTGTCATACGCATTACATTAAGGTACATATCTCTGCCAGATCTTATTCTGGTGGTGGTTGACAGGCACCAGCTTTGTGATATGATAAAAATAAGTACATTTTTGATATATCATTGTATTAGTAATAATTCAAGTAGTTATGACAGCCAAATAAATATAGTAGAGGTACACTTGCATCAATCTTTAGCTGTTGTTTTAGAGATGTTACTTTAGAATTAAATGCTTGCAATTTAATATTAACTTAACAATATGAAGTATAAACTTCAAAAGTTGCTAGGCAAAGGTATAGGGAGAAATCCTGTTGCTGTCTTAGAAGTCTGGTATGGCCAAAGGGGAAATTCTGACATGAGAAAATGCTAATAACTAAAAATTGTTTTTTTCTGTCTGAAACATTTCTTGTGATTCTACTACTGCTTCTGAAGTCAAAGAAAGAGAATAGAGGAACAGTATCTTCTCACAGAACTGAGGAAAAATTACAGTCCTTTTCCATCTTTTTTGTTGTTAACTTGTATCTATTTTTATAGTTTAAGTAAACAGTAGATTTCTGATATAGGAGAGCTTTGAAAAAGTTCTGTGTTATTCATAATATCTTCCGTGATTCATCTCTTAATGTCTTCCTGGACATTCCACTTTAAGCAATTTCACGTTTTTGGGCCCATCTGCAGCCGTAACATCTAAATCAGTCAGTTCTGGTATGAAGGTCCTTTGATTTGATTTCTCTGGGAGGCCAAGAGTAGGCAAACTATGTCTGTAAAATGAAAGATTGCTGCTGTTACTACGTGCTTTTTCCCAGACTAAAGAAGACTAAAACTAAATACACATAAATCAACTCTGTGGGCAGAGATAAAGTGCAGTGATTTAAAATTAATGCTTTTAAAAGCATTGCCATTTAGAAGATGGAAACTCTTTTAAGTCACTCTGATAGCCCATAGTTGCTCTAAGTTCCATGTAACAGTAATGACACTGGTCTTTGCAGTCTCAGAAGTGAACTGCTTAGAGGGGGAGGATAAATGGTGAGTGAACCATTCCAAAAATGTAAAATGCCTGTGTTCTGTCCTGCTCACTTGAAGTTACCCAATAGATTAAGTGCACTACTTGGCCACAAAGCTGGGCAGCACTTAGACACAGCCTAGCAGGATGAGGCCATGCTGTGGAGATGCCATCTCCCACCACCACACACGCACACTTACCCCCATTTTTGCCTGTATTGTTGCTGGTGTGCCCTCAACAGCTGTGTTAGGTGTTCATGGTGAGGAGGGAGGGGATGCATTGAATCAATCAAGTATTTAGGGCCGTGAAAGCAGCACTTTGTCAATATAACTGCAAGAGTCAAATTAAAGGCCTTCTGTGTTGTCCCAGGGAGATACCAATTCTTCTTTCACTGCATCAGAGCTGATAAAAATGTAAAACTGTATTTCAGTCCTCAAAATTTGAGCTATGTGTGCTGGTATAAGAACATTAAACCTTGCTTGAGGGACTCTTTCTGCCCAGTGCAGTGGAACATACAGGCAGGGAAGCAGAGTTGTCCTTCGGACAAATCTGATTTAAGTGCTCTGATGATGAAGTTTGGGAAACCATTTTTTTTTTCCTCATTTAAACTGAAACAGTAGAACTCAGTGTTGTAGCAAATGGAAAGCATTTGTATTTATAGCTTAGTCAGCTGAGTACTCTGTACACTGAAGTTGAACGCTTATCCTTATTGCAATTGTTTTTCAGCATGCAATGATGCTTCCTGTCCTTACCCATCATGTCCGCTACCATCAGTGTCTGATGCATTTGGACAAATTGATAGGCTACACTTTTCGAGATAGGTGCTTGCTGCAGGTAAGATATGAAAAAAAATAAGCTACTTGCTTGTTTGTCTTCCTAATGTTGTTGAGTTTATCCATAGTCCTGTCTGCTGTACAGACTTAAGAAATGCACTGCGTTGCCACAGCTTCGATGTACTTGATTATTTGCACTGCAGATCTTTCAAAAGTGCAGCTATCCCAAGAGACTTCTAAATAGAGGCATCTGTTGTGCATGTAAGCGTACACCTACATTTGCTCCAGTGGTAGGTCTGGATTTGTTTGTACTGTGTAGAAAGACAAAAATACGCTTACTGAAAAGGCTGTCAGGTACATTACTCATTATTTCCATGTAAGTTCTTTTTTTTAGATATTTTTGAAGAACACAATGTTATTCTGCAGATCAGCATACATGTCTGTCTTTTTCTTTTCATAGTTTCTTGTTTCAAAAAAAGAGTAATTTAAGTGTTGCCTTTTTATTTTGCATTTATAGCTAGTGGAAAGGAATTTGGAAACTTCTGTTCAGCTCTTGATTTTTACAAGTACGTGATGCAATTTTTGCATTTACAAACAAGGGCAGAAACTGGAGAGGAGAATTTCTTGGTTTTTAAATGCATCCATGTTGCATGACCACACACAGAATCACAGAACGTTAGGGATT